GACTTCTAACTGAAAACATTTTTGTGTCACTTATTTTAGCAATTTGAATTTGTACAGATGTCAAAAGAAAGTATAGTTCTTCCTTGAAAATACTTAAAAAAAGATTATGCATATATTCAAAGCATTGTTCTAGTTAAAGCTTATTAATGCATTATAAATTCAGGAGTTTAAAATTAAAACTTGTTTTAAAAAAGAAATTGAGCATTTGAAATTGCTCTTTGACATTGTGATGTTATGAATAAATTTCATTCAAATAAATTCTAAGTTTAAATAGCTGAACTTTTATAGTTATTAGTATTAGTGAGATATTCTATTTATACATCTTATTAACATATTTTAGCATCTTTATGTTTTAAAGACTGATAAGAATGCCATTTCCTTGGGAAAATTTCAGAGAAATTTTGTTACAGCTTCCACATTTAACATTTTTTCCTTTGGCTTTAAAGTACTTTAAAATTCATGAGATGTCCATTAATTTTATTAGCAACTTCTAGAAAACCACTTTTTGAAAAACCACGTTTCAAACAATTGACTGTGATAAATGAAACATTGGTAATGACTGTACTATTAAGTAATAGTGGTAAAAAGTAGGGGAGTAATACACTCAGGGTTTTCTAAATGATTCCTTACTGCCCTGAATGACTTATTTATATCTAATGGTATGTAATTTGCTAATAGAGAATAGTAATTTATTCCTTAGAAAGTAGTGATATTTAGGAAAAAATGGAAAAAAAAATGCTTCATAATAACTCAAATATGAATTTTCAGGAAACTAATTTTCAAGTCCCTAACTTAACTATTTCTAGGTGCTCTATAGGTATTTTCCTCTTGTAAGCTTACTTTGGAGGCCTCTTTGGAAGTTGATAGGAACATGTCATGCCTAATGTAAGTTTTTTATTATTATTTAATTAGCCATTTTGTGAATTACCCAGGCCATTTTACATCTATAAAGTTTTCATGTTTTCACTTATTCACAATTCTGTCAAAAAATTAAAAGGAATCAAAAGCAATAGAAATGGAGCCACAATTTATATCCTATTATTACTATTTGTTGCTTAAACGTCTGTTTATTAGCTGAGTTTAACTTAGAAATTGAAATGTTTTTGAATCTGTCTTATTTTTTACTTTAACATTGCCAAATGGCTATATTAGAATTAGTTCACCTGTGAGAAAAATATAGTTAGCAAGATGTTGAAATAGAGAAATATGTGAAAAAAAATTAAAAATGAGCTCTGTGATAAGGAAGATAGGTGGGGGTCCACATCAGACTCTTGAGGCTGTCTCTGTCCAGACCAGGTTAATGGCATGAAATTATTCTCTTAAAAGCTTGTTTTGCTTGCATGGTGTGAGTTGGTGGTCTTGGTCCTTTTAATTAAGACTCTATGATAAAATTAGATTTCTTGTTCATCATCTTATGCTTCGGGACTGAAGATTCATTGGTAAAGAACCACTAACCTGTCCTCTCACCCCCAGGGTGTGAACACTGAAAAGGATTAAGGCCCACTGTAGGGAAGCTTGCACTGAAGCCTGCACTGCCCTTTCCCCTGTTCTTTTCAGTTAAATAGAAGATTTTTAGTTCCCATGACTATCAATCTGGTGCTTTTCACAAGCACCAAATTCTTTTAAGAAAATTAGGATGACTTATTTTTAGAAATCCACTGGCCTAGAATACTGCAAGATGATTTTCTTGGTGTTTTGTGTTAACAGGCCCTGTACATACTAATTTTTTTCTGATGCATATTAGTTTGCTTTAATTTATATTGAATTTGGTGATTGATACAGGTTTTTAAAAAACAAGAACAGATTTTTATGTGGTTAGGTTTGCATGTCTAGTAGTAATAGAGTTTGGCAGTGTTGAATCTTATATTTCTCTAGAAATAGCTATCTAACAACTCTGTGGACATAAACTAACTTTTATTTTTAGATGACTGTAATTATAAGGTACTTTTTTCATTCTTGAAGGCTTTTAAATAGCTTTTATAAATGCTAAGATGTCATATATTTTTTCAGCATTTGCTAAATTAATATTGTATGTAAGCTTGAAAATATAATTTGATTTTTTTAGCTAAAATAATTGCAGAGTATTAAACATTCTTGGTAGTTAAAGCTTTTTTTTCCATTTAATTTGAGCTTTTGTTGTTACTAACAAATAATTTGTGGCACAGTTTCTTTCTTTCTGTCTTTCTTTCTCTTTCTCTTTTTCTTTCTTTCTTTCTTTCTTTCCTTTTTAAAATGGCTGCTAGAATCTATATACTTGTCACCTTAGTGTCCCAGAAATGTTCCACTTAGATCAAGGGTTCCTTTCTGGTTTTGTATGTTCTCACCTGCTCCTCACTGTAAATCATTGAGATGTCAAGTGCAATGATTAATTAAGCTGCACGTGCAAGTGCTTTTTTTCACCTGTCAAGCAGGAAAGAAGTCTTATCGCAAGATTAGATGCTGCTAATTCACAGCTTTTTCTCTAGACTGTCAAGTATGTAGAAATATTTTATATTTAGATGCCTATTTAGAATACGTCATATCAGGGTTTGTTTGGTTTTGAGTTCTTAAATATTGTAAGATACTATTATTATACCAAACCCTATCATTAAACTCTTAATTAGAGGCAAAGAGTAAATTCAGAATTCATACATAAATATTTTGGAATTTCAGGTTTATACTTTGTAGTAATTACCTTTTATCCAAAAACTGCTTAGTTGACTTAGGTTATTTAAAGTAACTATTTCCAAGTATCTAAATAGATTTTGTATGTTATATACACCATGAGATCCATCCCTAATGAGACCTGTTCTTATTATAATATAGCATAGGTTTAAATTTGTGATGAAATATGATGATGGTAATTTTTTCTTTGAGTATATGGATATTTGCTGAATGTAATATTAAGCTTTTACTTTTTATACATTGATATAAAAGCATGGACTTGGATAGCTTGTTCTCCCCATCCTAGTTCTTTCATTCTCCACCCTCCTTTTTAAACATCAGTAAAAGTAAAACCTCAAATTGTATAGTAATCTTAATCTATTATTAAAAAGTCCTAGAAAGGAAGATTACAAGGTAGATTCAGGTTTTGAATCGGTTTTGCCATTGGTTTAGCAGCGGGTGGGCAGGCAGATGCCTGCTCAGAGTAGAACCTATTGCCATTTTTCACCATTGATAGAGTAGCCTTTCAGAGTCAATGAGCTCTGTCAATGTGAGCTTGTCAAGGCTACAACTTCATAGACCTGAGAGGCGGTTTGAGAGGTCAGCCCTTTTCAGGTTCGCTGTGATGCAAATGAACTTTAATGCTTAAACAACTATTGGAATTTTTATGTCTGCTCCTTGTTCTTTTTTCTTCACAAAGTCATTGACGAGACATTCAGTGCTTTTTAAATTGGAAGTTGCATTGTGCTAAAGACCTAGTACAGATTTACGGAGGGCTGAAAGCAGTTAGATCATGTTCTTTTCATGGTGCGATTAGAATCAAATCGATTTCCCTACAGCCTTCAGCATTCAGATGGCAATTTTAACAAAGCTTGGGGGCTAGACAAGGGACAAAACGACTGAACTGAATGTTAATTACACTCTGCAGCCTTATTTTCTTTTGATTTGGGGCTGACTGGCAACTAAATTAACAAAAAGTGTGACCATAACTGCTGCCCTATTTTCATTTAAAAGGAGAGCTGCCTCTAAAAGGCTATCTTTACAAAGAAACAAGTGAGGTCTGCTGATCATTGTTAACAAGGGCACTTTTTTTCCTTTAAAATTCTTGCCAAAAAAAACTTCAAAAAAAGTAATGTAATAAATTAGTCATCGGCGTATTATTGCTCAGAGTTAGGTGAATTTCTGATTTTTATGACATAAGCTTGGAAAATGGTAATAGTTGGTAATTCATTGGTAGTTATGAATTATAATTGGCACCTATGTGACTAGTGTATCTTTAGCATGTACTACATGCTAAAAGGTAATATGGTAATTTAGACTACAGTAGATACTTTAAATAATAACCATTTATTATATAACATTAAACTATTCAAAACCGGCTTGATCTTAACACTTTTTCACCTCACTCATCCTTGCTTGACATGCAGATTTTCATATTTGATTATTAGTACTCATTTAGTTATACATGTTAATGGTGGTAGATGCTTTTTTCCTTCCCTTGCAAGGAAGCTGCAGCTGCACCAAGTTGCAGTTGATTCTTGGGGCAACACTGTCCCTTTTGCACCTGCAGCTGTGTCAGTCTCATCCTAACACCTGGCATCATGAATTATCCTCTCCTTTATTCATACTTCCAGGCAAGACACATTTTATGCTGCTTGGTAGATATTGCAAAAATCCAGTGAACTTAAACATAAACTTCTCAGTTGATTCCTTTAACAGGAGTTTGACTTTAGTATCATTTCTGTTGGTTTATATACAGTATTTTGCCTGTTTGAAAGTCTTTATCTGTGGAATAATTAATAAGCTAGCTTTTAAATTGGGTATTATTTTTTTAAGTATGATGTGAGAATCTGTTTTGATAGCTGATTTATTTATTTATTATTTTTAATTACTTTCTTTTTGAATTTACCCTAAAGTCATTTGTATTTTGTGAACTAATATTTAAATAACTTGTTTTAAAACATATATGGAGGAACTTTTATCATTGCTTAAGTATTGCAGAAGTAGTTTTGAAAGAAATGGAGACTAAAATTCATATCACTTGGTAGATGGCATTTTTTTTTTTTTGACATTAGCTTTTTAGAAGACTTGAATAGTTTCATATGAGAGGCCAGTAAGTTTGAAACAGTTGAAAAAAAGATACAGTACTAAAGAATAAAACCATATCTTTATTGAAATAGAGTACTGTTTCTGTTCAGGTTACTATTTAGTACTAAAATGTTGAAAGTATTATAGACCACCATGTACTCACTCAGTCACTGTCTTCTACGTCTCTCCTTTTCACACAAAAAACAGCTGCATAACAAAGTTTTTCTAAAACCAGTCAAGAGTAAACTTTTTTCTCATTTGTCTTCCAGACACGAAGATCGATTGAGAAGTTATTAGAATGGGAAAACAATAGGTTATACCACAAGGTGAGTACCACAGGGAGCAGCTTCGTACTGTTGGGGTCTGAATTGCACAGTATGGAAACAGATGCTTTTGTTGAACTAAAAATATGAAAGGTGGACAAATGGGTTAGTCTGTGTGCTGCAATAAAATAGAGCTCATTTTTCTTCTTTTACTCTCCTACTTGTCTAGCTGTGCTTGCACTGGAGACTGAGCAAAAGGAAATGTGAAACGAATAACATGATGGAATATGTAAGTTAAAGGGCTGTTTTGTGAGTTTCTCTATTAAATGATCATTTATTTTGCTTCTGATCTTATTCTTTCCATGATTATTAATCAGCAAAGGTGTCAGGAGCTTAATCTCCTGAGCGCAAGGATTTTCTACGGTTCACAGATGCATGGTTTCATGTGCAAGACTGATTTATAAAGTTATGAATGACTTGAAAACAAGGCTTCACTCTGTTCTGAAAAATAATAAATTAATTGCCAAGATAAAATAGCCTGAACATGTGTTGATGGAGTGTGAAATTTTAGATGCTGTATAAAGAATAACCACAACTTTGGTTACGCAGCAAGTCAGATATGGCTTTTTTATATAATGCTAATCAAGTTTCCAAGTATGGAAGAAAACCTTTCAGCCAAGCCGTTGGAGCTTAAGAAACCTTTAGCCTTTATAGATTTTAACTGCCCATACCTCAGTGGCCTTTAAAGAATCTTTCAAAATGTTATAAGAATATCGTTTTGTAAAGAAGAATTATCCTAAAAGTAAAGCAGGAGATGAGATGTTGCTCATCCTGTATTCTTTAAAAGATATCTAATTGGCACATGTATACAATGAATTTTAGTATTTATTCGGTATGAGATTTAATTTACTGACTCCTTGATTTACTTGAACAATTTTCCTCCTTTTGAGAAGTTCAGAATACTGTAGAAAATCATGAATTTTTATATATTCTCCCTTGAGCTTGGGTGTTTTATTTTAAATATGGAAAGGTTATTATGTTAAAAGAAAAAGATCTGCGGAAGAGTTAATTGTTGAAAATGAAAGTCATAGTCTTTGTGAAGTACCAGGCACACTTCTGGCAGATTTTGTCTATTCTCTGAAACAATATAGCTATCATAGATAGTATATGTATGTGTGTGCATGTGTGTCTGAACAAGAGATTGATTAAAACAGTACTTAAATAGTTGGAAATTATCATAAAATCATTTTTCTCTGTAGCCTTTTCCCTTTCTTTCATTATCATACAGTCAAATCCCATTTCTAGCCTTGAAGATAAAAGACATCTTAAAAATGTCTCTTTTTTCATAGAATAGTTCTATTCAGTGAATCAAAGAATGTAGATTTTATCATTATCTATATCAAACATATTAATTTATGACGATGAGAAAGAGAGTTGATACTTTTTTTATTTAAAAAAGCATATTCAAATAACTTGTTTTGAGATTGACCTATGAAAATTCTAGTCTTGTGCTTTCATCATAGATGGTAAGAGAGTTCATATTTTGCAGGGAGGGATGATTTAAAGGATTTTGTGAAAAAAATAGCTGCTGTATTTATAAACCCCAATACTAATACATTTCTGAATTTACGTTGGAAAGGAAAGCTTGAAAGCTATTTCCAGTGCTGTTATTTATTTCCAGATACAGCTATAAGAACGTCATTCATTCATAAAATGCACTCAAATATTCATGTTTATTTTTATGACATTCTTTTATTAGCTAAAAATAAAATAATTTACTAACCATCCAAAATATTCTGAACTATGTATTTTGTTTGCAAAATAGTTTAACTTGTCATGAATATTTAGATAAACTCTTTTCCTAAAACCATTTTATTTAGTATACACCATCATAGAAGATACCCAGAAGAGCTGTCAAAAAGAAAAATATAGGAGTGCCCGGCTGGCTTAGTCAGTGGATCATGTGACTGTTGATCTTCAGGTTGTGGGGTTGAGCTCCATGTTGGGTGTAGGGATTACTTAAAAATACAAAAAATTTTTTAAAGGAAAAGTATATAAAAATTGCTGCAAAAATGTATTTTTTCTAAATTTTCTCAGAGTATGTATATTTGTGATACATTGCATGGGGGAATAACATAATTTCAAAATCTCCCGATTCGGGCAGCCCGGGTAGCTCAGTGGTTGAGCATCTGCCTTCGGCCCAGGACGTGATCCTGGAGACCTGGGATCGAGTCCCATGTCGGGCTCCCTGCATGGAGCCTGTTTCTCCCTCTGCCTGTGTCTCTGCATCTCTCTGTCTGTCTCATGAATAAATAAATAAAATCTTTAAAACAAAACAAAACAATATCTCCCCATTCAAAAGTTGAGATAGCAAAATAGTAAGAAGAGAGTGCTTTATTTTTCTAATGAATTGGATCCTTTTTTTACGTTTCTCTTTGACCTTAACTTTTCTTCAACTTACAGAAATATCATTTGTTAGTTAAAAGAAAATAATTCTCCTTGATTATGTTTTGAATACTGGGGACAATCTAGAAAAAATACCAACTTTTCTTTTTTTCAAATACAGTAGAACAGTATGATTTAGAAGAAATAAGTGGCAGTGTCTGTGTGACTTCTGAAGGAAAAGAGGCTGTAGGATATAGTCTTTAAAAACTAATGATAAAAAAAACTAATGATAATTCAAATACAGTTAAAAGTAGCCTAATTATTTTGTATTATGTAGTAAATACTGTAAAATGTAATCCCTATACCTAAGACCTGAAATTATAAAAACTATCTCTGATGAAGACATGTTTGAAATTATAGAAGTGTTTATTGAATATTAACTCATAAGTAGTTTAAACATCAAATCAGATAGTTTAATCATCAAATTTTAGAGCTGCATTGAATTTTGTCATCTAGTCCAGTCCCTTTATTTTCTTATATGAGGAAACTGAGAAACAGGGAAATCTCGCTCAAATAAAAAGCTAGACAGGAAGCTAGTGAACATCTTGTCAGCAAATACCAGGTCAGAAGAGTGGCAAAGGGTGGTACCTAAAGCTTAGTACAGGATAACCAAATAACCAAATAGAGAAATATTTTTGAGCTGCGTGTAGGAGAGCCTTCTTTATTGAGGCAGATCAAAAGTCAGGAGAATTGAAGAGTGAAAACAAAAGTTTCTGGCCCATTTGGCTAAATGTAGAAGAGTGTCCAAACCTGGAGGTTATATCAGGACAAGTTTCTGAAAGAAAAATGAGGAATTCACCAAAGTTGGAAGCTGTTCAAATAATGTTTTGTTTAGCATCAATTTCATACAGAGTTGGAACAAGGGAAAGAATTGATTGTCGTTTAAGGCAGCTCAAGTTTGGAATAAAAATTAGCTTTGGTCAACTTGTGTTTTTCTGTGTTACTGTGTTTTGTTTTTACTGGTTTTCCTTCAGTTTCCTAGTAAAAGTTCCTTTGGAGCAAATTTAATTTCTAATTTTGCTGACCTAAGAAGAAAAAAGCTTTTTTTAAAAAATTAAAGAGCTATAGGACCCTTTATAAAGAGATTACATAACCTGGTAGGGTAAAATGAGAACAAATCTAGAACCTAAAGACCTATAGAATTGAGTGAGATAAAAACGAAGAAGGCAGGAGAAATAAACACTGGGTTGGTTGTAACCACATTGTGCTCTAGTAGAAAGGGCGAGGTAAGGTAGTCATTTGTTCAGGTTGACTCCACAGTACATGATGTCACACTTACTTGAATCATCAGTTTCCTCATCTGTAAAATGAGAGTGATAATACTTGCCTCATAGAGAAGTTGTTATGGTTAAATAGATCCATAGTGTATGAGACGCTTGGTATGTAGTCGGTTCTCAAAAGATGCTAGCTCTGGCTCCCTTCCTCATTCATCCCTGCATACATTCTGCTTCAGGGGCACTATCAAAATGGCTGTAAGTGATGAAATAGAACTGAAATCTTTTTAAGATAAAAATCCATTTACATCTTTTTTTAAAAACTTTTTTTTCTTTTTCTACAGGTCATCCTCATAGAATTTTTACCAAAGACACCGATTTTTCGACCAGATTAGCATTTACTTTATTTATAGAGACTTTCCAAGTATGTTGTCTTTCCAATGGTGCCTTGCTTGGTGCTCTCCTGGTGGTGACATAACATTGGTTCTACAGAATCGTGTGGTGTTTTTTTCTGTTTTTGTTTTTTTAAATAACCGCATGTTCTAAGTGTGCATTTTTGTCAAACTTTGCAAGTTATTTCATACAGATGTTTAATACTTAAGTTATTGTGCTCTTTTCTGTTATGTATTCTGATTTTCAAGGATTACTTTTTTGTATTATCAAAAAAATACATTTGAACTTAGCATAAAAAGTGGCCAGCCTTTTTTATTTTTCACCAAGGTACACACAGTCCTTTATTTATTAATTCCATAATATAGAAGAACACTTTTGTAAGGCTCTACTTATCTATTCTAGCAAGCACACTCTTTGTATTATTTTTCTTCCTTTTAAAATTTAAAATAGTTGTTATTTTAAAACAATAAGTTTTCTTTAATAGCTTTTTGAACCTAACACATCCTTTCCCATACAATTCCTAATGCTCTGTTTACAGCAGAAATATCCCTAACATTATGAAAACCTATCAAAAAAATTTTGAAAGTATTTCTGTCTTCAGAGGTAGTAAGGCAGGATTAAATTATTTTTATTAGAATAGACAAATAATGAATGGTTATGCATGCACCTAATGGTTACTAGAGCTCAGGATCACAAAATACGGTAGCATTACAATCTGTGTATATTTTTGATCAAGATGATAATAATGGCCTTACTTGCGTTATTTTTTATCATTTATCAAATCTTATATAGAAAAGTATGGAAATACTCCTTTAAAAAATTTCTAAGGAAAATATTTCTCCCAATCTAACATAATTGTAAAATGGCTATGTTTCTGAAAAGTTTTTGAAAGAAAGCAAAAGTTCTAGAACTAAAAGTAAACTGGTGTTTAATACCCCACTGATACTTAGATTATTACTAAGAAATGGAGGACATATTTAGTACTGTTTTTATCCACTAGTTTGCTTTCAGTCCAGTTATGTATACTTTTTTGATTGAGAATGTGACATATAAGTTTCAGATTAGTTTGTTTCTTTTAACTATACACATACATTTTTTTTCTTTCCTTTTGGTTGTACATATCTCCATGTGTTTTAAAACTTTCTAAATTTCTGAGTGGCCTATGTGTAAATTTCTGTTTTTATAGACCTGGCATTATACAAGTTTTAATGTGTGTCAAAAACTTGTTCCATACAGCTGTGGTATCTAGCAATAATGTGAATAACTTTTGAAATTATATAAACTATGCTTACTAATTTGTATTAAGAATTGGTACCACTATACAGTATCTTTTCTCCTTGTATTAAATCTTTTAAATACCAGTTTCTTTAATTTATATACCTGTATTTTTTAAAAGTATTTCTCTGTACTTCTCCAAAGTACTGTAATTCTATATAAATTTGAACAGTTGGATCCTAATATCTTATATCCTATATCTTATATTGGACATTAGGAACTATCTTAAAAACTAGGGTGGTTTGGTTTTTTTTTTTTTTTCACTTGAGAATCAATTGTTTCCATTGCCCTCCAAAACACTTCGCAACTTGAATTTATGAACCACTTTTCCTACGAAGAGCTCAAAGTACAAATAATTCCAATACTTCTCGCTTTATTGACCTTGTGTCCAGGGTGTGTCCTACCACTTTCAAGTAGTGGAACTGAAAGGTAATGCTATTCAAAAACTAGTATTCCTATATGGTTTCAGTGCGAAAGATTATTGTCTGGAGAAGGCCAACTGCCTCTGGATTCTGAAAGAGCAGAAAAATATAACTGTAGACTCTGCAACACAGTGTCCTAAATTCTGTAAATTTGTAGGGTACCATATTGATCAGCTTTATAGGAACAACTGTATCTATTTAGGTATAATTTTTTTCTCCTATTATTAGTCTTCTGGAAATTTCAATTTAAAAATCATTCCCCAAAGAATATTGTAGCAGTAAGATAATTTTTGTAGTTGTTAGTATTTAGGTATAGGAATCCTTTTAAAGCCTTTCTGATTTTGAGAGGTATGTCAGTTGCTCTAAGGTCCCCCTAGAAATGTACACTCTGACATTTCTAATGTATATGTAGAAAAGAACCAGGGATGCTTAATATGTCGCATTGCCATTAGCCAGCTACGCCTTGAGCTGTTAGATTTCCATGTTTGGTCTTTTCTTTGTGGCCCCTAGTTAAGCCCTCTGGCTTATCTTTTCTTGATTCATGAATCTAAGTTCCCATGTTACTGGAAATTAGAAATGTCAGAGATGCCTATGTTGTGTGAACATTAGTCCAAAGGAAGTATTTAAAATGATAATTGTTCTTCAGTTCCTGTTTTCTGACTTAAAGTTTGTGAGATATGAAGCGTAAGTAGTTTTAAAACTGGCCAAAGAAAGGTATTATTGGCAGAAAATCTAGTATAGATTTTACAGAGTATGTATAGAATTATATGTGTAGGATTTACATAGGCTAAGTGAATAACTTAATGAACTTTGTTTATATATTACTGGCGTTTTACAGGTAGTCCATCATCCTTGTGGAGAAACATTTATTTGCAAAGCTTATTTATTTTAACACATGACTATTATATATCTGGGTTAAAATATGTACTCTAGAACCTAAAGACTATAAGTAAAACTCAAGTGACACATTTAGTTTCTAAGGCAGATACTGGCCCTGCTCACAAGAGGTTCACCCTACTCATATAAAAATGGTCATAGATGCTTTATTAAGACTCTTTAATTAAAGGCTAGGTTCCATTCATTTGAAATATAAACATGTAATTTTGGCTGAAACTCAAAACGTGTTCAAACTTTTAATAGTAAGCAATGATTTTCTTTTCTTACTAGAGAAACTACTTTTATAATTGAACAATTTTAAATCAGGAAGAACTACAACTTTCTCCATGGTTTTCGGTTTTATTTGTGGACAACTTCTGATTGCTTCTTTATATTAGTAGACACAGGCAAACTGCATAAAACTTTGACAACATTCCAAATCAATCTTGGGTTATAAAAGAATGATATTAATAGTAACCTGTACAGCTGGACCCACAGTTGCATGCATTCAAACTACAATAGTCTTATGTAACATTATGTACGTAGACTGTTTTAACTTTTATGGCATTCTGCTTTGCATTTATAACCTTTAGCTGCATGCCTGATTTTCACTGTAAATATTTGCTTTGGTTTAAGTACTGGTCAGTAGTACTAAATCAGAAGTACAATCTGTTTAAAACTGTCTTGACTGAATTCCAACATCTAGTCCTGGACCCTCTTCTCTTCTCTATCCTACTGAAGCAGTTTGGGTCCTTTTGCTGCCCTCTTGATGTCCAGTCTTCATCCAGACAGGGACATAGTTCACATTGCCTTTTGTCTTCCTTCCCCAGAGCTCACAGTACAAATGGTAATTCTTTTGCATTCTTAGCTGGGTGTCTAGAAGGCCAATTAAAGTGAGTTAGTCACATTAAGTGATTAATGGGTGACACTCTCAATTCTGCTAAGGTGGTACTTGCATTTTAAAAGTTCCTTAACTTAAATTTCCCACTGATGCAGTGGTACAATTGATATTTTCCTTTTCAACAGACCTTATCAGTCCAGACGTTGCAGGGAGAGGATAATAGGACGGTTGCATGTGGAGCTTCTCAAACCACCATTTCTGAAGAAAGCTGATTTATATCTAGTCTTATGGCAGAAGGAATAGGCTTAAGGCCAATCCTAAACCAAACTATTAATTATCCCATAATAGTTGTGTTAAATATACTTTTAGATATAATTGCCAACTTTCTTATTTTTAGGAACATACCTTTTATATTAAGTTGAAATGTGAACATACCTTTTATATTAAGTTGAAACTTGAGTTATTAGCTTGTTCTGTACTTTTACAGAGCTTTTTAGATAGTAATATAAGAGAAACCTAAATATTGTTTATGTTTGTTAGTAGTCATAATTCTGTGTACTAGGGAGCAGTATTCCCTTTCCTGCCATCATTGTGAATTGAAACAACAGAGGTTGTTTGTAGCCTTAATAGACAATACTGAAGATAGAAATTTAGAATGCTAATCCTGATTTTGAAGTTATTTCTGATGTTCTGCAAAATTATCAAATTACTTGGCTTCTTTGCATTTATCTTTTTCCACAAAAGGAAGATACTATGACTACCTCATATTTTACAATTTTTTTTTTGCTATTATTTACTAAGGTCTATATAAGAATAGAAGTGAATGAGTAGCTTTTTGACTTATTTACATAGTCAGCAGAAATCTGAGTTACTATCAAATTTTGCATTTAAAATTAAGAGAGTACTTCCTATATATATTTATAGTAATGATTTGCATGTTTAAAAATCACATAGACATTAAATACTTGAGGAAAGCTTCTTTCTAATAAGACCTTTTCAGATATAATTATAGATACCTAAGCAAAATCATGCCCGCTCCTTAAATAGCATTTCCTCTACTTCATAAACATGGTGCTGAATTGGAGAGTTGGCTGCTTTTGCTTTTTTCTCTTTATGAAAGAGAGTATATTGCTTTCTCAGCTCTTTATCTCAGAAATATTTTAATAAATTAACCATACTAGGCATTCTTAATTTTGGCAGATAAGCCAGAATTTTATGTATTTATTTTTAAAGAACATCAACCAGCCTTTAAGAGAAGACAAGTAATGGATCAATGTTTTGGCTACTGTATTGGACCATAAGACATTCTCAAACTGCAGATTTCCTCTTCTGTTCTCTCTCCTGCTGGTTTGTAATTTAGTATAACTGGTTCCAGTTCTTGACATAAATACTATACGGATTTAAAATGTTCTAGAAGGATTGATTCTACTCCTTCAAGAAACCTTTTGCACTAATAAAAGACCAACTCCTTTCTCTCCTAGTAGCAGCTTATTTTGTTAGGTAATTACAATAATCTCCTTGCATTGCCATGAAGTCTTCACAAACAGGAGTTTGTTTTAACTGAAGTTATCAAAGCTCTTTTAAAGTCTCTTATTTCTTTTTACATTTGTTGGAGCTAATGAATGACATTTTGTCCTCTCAGAGGAGCTAAGTATTATGAAGCTGGCAGTGGAAGCAAGGTAGACATTGGAAAGCAGTATGCTGAAATCTACCCTGTGAGAGAAATAACTACATTGTTATCCTACGCTTTGATTTACAAGGGGCAAAATTATGCAATTGCACACAGCTTTATGCTTCCTTTTATACTTTATGTATGACAATGGAACTTATTTTTTTTAAAGAAAGAAAAAATATTGTTCTAGATAGTCTTCCTCTGCTATCATGTCCTTTGAGAAGATAATGGGAGGCTACTTTGAATAAAGTATTCTTTTATTTATCTTTTATAAATGTAAGTGTGACAATTTTTTAAAAGACACTAAAGGATTTTTGGAATTTATTCCTATATCCTTAATAAGCATGGAATAATTTTCAAATAAAATAATCAGAAACTTACGATGGGTGAGTAATTAATTACGTAGACCCAAGATAAGGTCCCTATTTGCTTTCAGGTGATTCTGGTTACATTCAGGTAAGTCTAGTAACATTTTAAAAAATGAAAATAACTTTGGTAAGATATACAGTTGAATTTTAAAGGTATATGTTATATTTTTTACATTATTAAGAAATTAAAACCATTGTCAAACATCTAATACAAGATTTTTTGTTGTTAGATAAAAATTTGTTGGCCTTCATAATTGTGAAGAAATATGTAGATGGGTAGTTTGGTTTTTGGTTCTGTGTTGGTTGCAGTATATTTAGTCTTACAAAATCAAGTCTTAAAAAAAATGAATCAAAAAGAATCAAATGTTAATTGACAGGGTTTTCCTAGTAAACAAATGGATTTCTAATTTGAACTAGAGGGCTTTTTTTTTACTTTTTCTCTGCTTGCTTGCTTTGGCTAGTTGAGTTTTTGTTGTTAAGTGAGTTGGTTGTAATGCATGATTCTGTGCTTAAAACTAAAATGTGGGCTAATTTACAGCATTTGGTCTTTAAAGACTATACTATATTAAATAAGATTTTAAGCCAATTTTAGGTGAAGTTGGAAAAGAGAGCCTAGTACTTGAGATTAAATTACTTTAAAAGAAATTGGCCAAACTAAGGATGTCTGTCAAAATGACCTTATGAATGAATACATACACAAATACTTCCGTAGATATGACCTGTACAAATATCTGCGGATAAAATAATTGACATTATGAATATGAGGCTAGGAACCATGCATAATAAAGAAATTTTGTATTTATGTATTCATAAGTTGCACATAGTTAGAAAAAATAGAAAAAGCATACAACTTACATATTGTCTTTTTTTCACCAAAGATCTTATTTAAGTTGTCCCTAAATTTTAAAAGCCAATACAGCT